TAAACATAATATAAGAAAACCGTTTAAAGAGAAAGAGCTTCTATCAAAAACGTTTTTCTGTACAGAACACCAACTATATTAATAAGAAATGCTTGTTTGACGCTTACAAATCGAATAATAGAGTTATTATTTTTTAGTTTTTTGGCTCTCGATAAGAAACATAAAAAAACGTATGTATATTTTTTTAAGCAATTTTTCATTCCTAATTATTTTAGTTAATTTTATACCATTTTCTCAAAAACAAAATAATAACTGAAAAATATGACTCAAATTGTATWTTTTAAGAATTTGGAAATCAAAGATCTTGGAAATAATTTTACGAATTTYGACAGTTTCTTAACGCATATTTATTGGTCTGATCTGGTTATTTTTATTTAAATATACTAACCTATAATTCTAAATCTCATATTGTTTATAACAAAATAAAAATTACATTAAATCTTTTTACGATATATAATGTATGATAGATTACTAAGACTAAATATTACATAGTCGTAAAATATAATAAGTAAATACCGTTTTGTTTTTTTTTTCTTTCATTAAGATGTAAGAGCGTCTATATTGAATTATTTTTAATAATATGTCAGGACAAATAATATTACACGAATTGATTTAAAGAAAATTCCGATTTAGAAAATCATAACACTTTAAATCATTAAATCTGACTATACTTGTACTACTTATTTCATCAAGAATTTTTCATTATTACGTAGTAGTTTTTTTTTCTTACAATTATTTATTGCAATTGCATAAAATATTATGGCTTGTACAATACAATAATAATGATATAAGGTAAAATTATTATTATTATTATTATTATTATTATTATTAATATCGACATACTGAGGCGCGGCGGTGCAGCGTTGAAACGAAGTTTGTGAGAGTGGATTGTTCATCAAGTCGGAATACTGTTTTAACGCGTTTTGACTACTTGGGCCGACCTCGTCGCTTTCGCAAGTTCGATGATCGCAACTTGAAGTTTGCGTGCAAGGCGAGAGCTTTGAAAATATGCACGTGGTGGTTGATTCTGAAATCTTCGATAAGAAACTTTGCACCGAGGTTTATGCGAAGCAGATAGGTCACATATATAATAATATAAGTAGATCGCAGGGGCACCTAGCCGTGGAGGGAGGGGGTTGTGGTTATGAAACTTTGACTAAACCGGTAACTAAATACATACATACATATATGTTTAATGTTTATATATATAAATGTACCTACATGGGACTCGAGCGCGTTCGTGAGAACATTTTACTACTTTAGTTTTTACCGCATCCACCCACGCGATACACTTACCGGCTACCTGCATACACTTGTGCTGCAGATGTAGTGCTCAATTTTGTTAGAAAAATACATATCAGTCGAGAGGGGCAAGGACCTTTATACTCTTTTATCGAATTGTTAAATATTGTACCTATACCTATACAATATTGTTGACAACAACAAAGTTGTAATAAGTAATGATGATATTAAATTTTGACGTTTTCAA